CGAAAAGAGGCCCGAAGAGAAGAGACGATGGCATTGCGAGCGCCCGACAGAGAAAGGCTGGTCGGCAACTCCGAAGAGGACCTCGCTGCAAGGCTTCTCAATGATCTCAATGACAATGACAATGAATGCAGAGTAGCGACGCAATCGAGTTTGTGCGAATTGAGTCTCTTTCACCAAGACCGCAGTGCGAGCTTGTGCGAAACGCTACCGACCGCAAGAAGATACGAGCATGTCCACCTCGTGACAGTGACTTGATCGATACCACACAAGATAGTTGAATTCAAGCAGCTTGCAGCACCGTCAGCCATGATACATAGCAATGCACTCGCTGCACGAGCAACAAGACCGCCAGCAAATACCGAGCAATTTTGGATCCGGAAAAAAAAAAAAAAAAAAGAGGAGTCGCGTGGTTCAGCGGTCCCGCGAGGCCGCGACGGCAAAAAGAAATGCGCTGGAGGGGAATCGAACCCCTGTCTTCTGCTACCAAGGTGATTACGTAAGCATTACATAATCCTCAGGCGCCAATGGAAGGCAGAAATAATAACCATTATACGACCAGCGCTTGGTGTTGTTATACAAATGAACGGCTGGTAGCCCTGCATATATCGCAAAACGAAGAACGGTAAAATTCGGCCACAGCGAGGAAATAGGGTCGTACCAAAAAAATCTCTGGGCTGGGCAAGGCGCAGCGTGGTGGAGGCGACGCGAAAAAAAAAGAAACAAACTCAAGACCAATAATGCTCACTATACGACCGGCGCCGTTGGTGGTTCCAAAGGGAGTTGATGATGCCTCGGCGACGACACCTCGATCTCATATGGGTGCACACGGCGGTACGGCGGTTGTCATGGTAATCGCGTGCATTTCATATCTCTTTCCGAATGCTTTTATGAGCTGGCTATGCGGAGCGGTGGGAGCGCTTGATCCAGTCGGCCACCTTGAACTCGAGGCCGGGGAGGTGGCCCTTGTGGCGCTTGAGGCAGTCGATGAGTTCTGCGCTGTCCGGGGTGACGGCTGCTGCGGCTGGGTGGTTGCCCTCGAGCAGGGCGGCGCACTCGGCCTCGGACGGAAGCGCAAAGACGTTGTGGCTCTGCTCCCACCTCAGCGGACCCTTGCCCCTCAGCAGGCTATCGCGTGCCTGGCGCGCCTCCTTCGAGGTAGCCGGTGCCGGGACCGACGGCAGCTCGGGCACGTCCATCTGCAATCCAGCCTTGCGAGCCGTGTCGAGGTCCGAGAAGAACTGGGCGCGGATCTGGGTGTCGGACACCTTGTCGAGCGAGGGCGGGTCCCAGGCCGCGATGCCCGTGCGACGCTTGCCCGTGGCCGGGTCGCGTTCCAGCACATGCGTCACGCCCGTGTAAAAGTCGCGGCCGATGGAAAAGTCGCAAAAGGCGGTGGCGAGGCGCATGTCGAAGCGGAAGGCCTCCTCGACGTCGAATCGCCTCGCCTCGAGAATGGCCTGGTGGGTGATCTTGAGTGCGCGCGGCGACTTGGTCTTGAGGTCCTTGAGCGTCTGCTGCGCCCAGGCCTGCACCTCGGGCGTGATCTGCGCCAGTCCGAGCTCGGCCAGCTCCACCGCAGCCTGGCTGTCCGCCTTGGCCGACGCGATCTCGTCGAGACACGAAAAGATGCTCTCGCACGACAGCTGGCCGAACACATAGTCGAGGGCGATGCGGCGGTCGCCAAAGAAGGCCGACTTGGCGAGCGTCTCGTTGGCGGCGAGCGGGTCGGCGTCGAACTCGTGCAGCGCCTGCGAAACGAGCGAAGGGTTGAGCGCGCTCTCGGCAGGAAGCGTGCTGAGGCGGTGGGCGAGCGCGTCGATGTTGCCCGAGGTGATGTAGTGCGTGGCGAGGCCGACGAGGTAGGCCTCCTCGCCCGAGATGCGTGCGCCGGTCATGCCGAGGTACTGGCCGATGCGTCCGTCGAGGCGGGCGAGCACGCGCGTGACGCCGACGTCGGGAAAGTAGCCGATTCCGGTCTCGGGCATGGCAAACATGGTGCGCTCGGTAGCGACGCGGAAGGGCGCGTGCACCGAGAGACCGACACCGCCGCCCATGGTGATGCCGTCCATGACCGAGACAAACGTCTTGGGCTTCTTGAGCTCGCCGCCCTTGCTCTTGGTGAGCGTACGTGCGTCCTCGGCGCCCTTACCGGCGCTGTGCGCGTTGGCAGCCTCGCCGAGACGCGCGATCTTGTAGTCGAGCTGGAACTCGGACTGGAAAAAGTCGAGCGCGGTGTTGCGCACCTTGGCGTCGGACGAGTCGGCGGCCTTGACGACGGCGAGCACGTCGCCGCCGGAGCAGAGCGCACGGCCGGTACCGCGGAGGAGGATGACGTTGCAAGCGGCTGCCTGGATGCACTCGTCGAGCGCGGCATCGATGAGGTCGACCATCTGCTGGTTGAGCGCGTTGAGCGCCTTTTCGCGGTTGAGCAGGATGGTGCGCAGGCCGCCTTCGGAAAGCAGCTTGACGAGCTTGTTGTCGTCGAGCGCGGCGTTGGCACCGGCGGCGGACCCAGACTTGGGCGCAGAGACGCTCATGGAGACGGACGAAGAGAACTGGCGGGATACCTGGCTGAGCCTTGCGTTGGCGGTGTTGACGCGCTTCGAGGACATGGTGCGGGAAGCGGCGGACAGGGTGGGCAGGAAGGGAGCGAGGCGGGCTGCGGCTGTAGAGGCTTGGGGACGGGCGAGGAGGGAGGAGGTGGTGGTGCGGAGGAGTCGGGACGTCCTCATGGCGGCGGCGAGATGGTGTGGGAGCAGACAAAGCCGGAGGCCGGGACGATGCGAAGCGGACGAGTGCGAAGGAGAGTGGTGTGGAGGCGAGCAAGCAAGGAAAAGGAAGAGAGAGGCAGAGACGACAAAGGCGGGCTTCCAACCGGCCGGGGAAGCTTCGAGTCGGCTACGAAATGCGGATTCCGGTGCGCGAAAGTTGCCGATGTTAGACCCGTGAAAGGCGCCGACTTCCGATCCACCTCGAATCGGGAAACCAGCCCTCGTGCGATCGCGCAGCTCCTCGCCAAGATCAAGCAGCTCGTGCAGACCAATGCCGCTGTGGCTCGGGCAAACACTGTGACTCGGCGCCGCTTGCTCGGAGGCCTCATCACGCCGTCGAACTCGGGCGGCAATCGGAGCCAGCTCAGTGCGTCTCCCGCGAGCCTGTCGTCACCCTTGCGCAACCGGAGGGCGCCGAGCAACCGTCCCGTCATCGAGCATCGCAATACCATCCGAGCTGCGATCCGCAGGACCAGTCCCAATCCCTCGGAGATGCAGAACAGCCGCACCCTAATCCACGCATCTATGAAAGTGCAATTCAATCTGCATGATACACCGGGCCGTGTGTTGCAATGTGATGAGCAGACATGGCCGGTAACTGCAACGACCAGACACATTGCTCGCGGTGGGGATTCCAACGCCCATCTACATCCACTCGTTGTCCGACTGTTGTTCTCGGGCAGAGACTTGGCAATGAGTACGAATGGAAGCCTCGTCATCTCGCCCCATTGCGGGTCCACCACCGAGTATGCGGTGGCGAGATGAAATGCCGAGATTTGTTGGGTGGTGACGCTCTCATACCGGACATCCCGGCTTCAACACGGCGACAGGAATTATCCGCAACCGTCCCACCGTGTTTCCCACCGGTACCACTCAAGTGGATCGTGATGAATTTGGCCGAGGTTGGGGTCATGGCCGCCTTTCAGCTCCGCCAGGAGTTGACATCGGCGCCAATCTCGGCGAGGAGAACACCGGCGAAGGAATCCTGGCGGAGATCGCCACTAGGGGAGCTCTAGGCACGCAAAGCGGACAGGAGTCGTGCAGGTGAGGCGATCAATTCGATGGCGCGTGAGCTGATGGACACGCAAGTGTCCATGCGTTCCTCGCAGACGGCGGGTTTTACAGCGGTTGTGGGTTCTGCGCGGGTGGTGACAATGGGCGACTCATGCGTGTCGAGGAGTTTTGAGCATCGCCCACGCTACGAGATGAATGAGCAGTGCCGAAGGCGTCATCCGTCCCTACCTGGTCGTGGCATACAAATAGTTCGTTCTTTGCCCTTTTTCGTCGTCGAGTCGCAACTGCATCAGCTCTGTTGCAAAGACACAAGAAGCAAGTCGTGCTCGAGCAAGCGGGAGCACTTCACCTCAACTGAGCAACTCACAAGATTCGGCACAAGATGCACGCAGGACGATTCTTTGGGATCGTGCCTTTGGCGCTCATCGCCGCGCTAGCGACAACTTTGCTTTTCTCCGTTTCTCTGGTTTCTGCTGCCGGCCCGGACAGATTCGCATCAGCACCCTACGGACAAGGCAAGGTAGCGGTGGTGTTCAGCGACGTAAAGTTCGACGACAAGGCAGCGGTGTGGAGCTTGCTTGCGGACCCGCAGTACCAGCGCGTCGTGGTCGTCACCTCCGGAATCAACAAGCACAGGAATGCGGCTCAGGAGCTGGTGAATTTCGTTGACCGCCAGAACGACCACCTTGGCTCTCGAGACCTCAAAGATAAGCTGAAGATCATGCAAGGCGGCAATCCCTTGGGCGTGGACGCTCCGCACGAAGTTTGGTACGACGGCGTCCCAGCCATGCGGATTCCGCGACTGAACGCGCGTGACATGCATCGAGAGCTTGCCGGCAAAGAGGTCGCCATCTTCCAGATTGCACCGGCCCAACTCGACGATGTCAGGCTCGTTATCGACAGCGCCGACCACGGAACCGTTCAGAGTCTGATGCTGCTCCACGGCTATAACAGCCGCCAGGCTGACATGGCCGCCCAGGAACGCTTCATTCTCCAGCTGCGACCGCTCGTCAAGAGGAACAACCCGCAAGGCGAGGTGTACTTCACGTCTTCATTCCAGTCGTACGCGGCCAAGGACGGCGGAAAGCAACCGCTGGAATGGGTCGCACAACGATTCGCGCCGTACGACGTTGATCAGGCCATGCGAGACCCGTTCTGGTCTCAGCAGATTCGTGCAGGAAGTCAGTTTCTGCCGTCAGGACACCAATCGCCGCTTCCCCTCCACAGTAGAGAAGGTTTGGACAGGTACATCTTCGAAGCCCGGCGCGAGCCCGCAAGATACGCTGCCCGACGACAGGCTATCTACCACCATGTCAACGCCATCTTGAACAGCATGTCTGCCGAGCAGAAGGAGCAGAAAGCTCGACTCGTAGGCCGACTGGAAAACACCTTCAAGCCGGAATTCGGTGGTGCAAGAACAACGATCGAAATGGCTGACGCCGCACACATTGCGCATTTCCATCGCGCCCAGGCTGCCGACGGCGCTGGTGGTGTCTGGGCGAGGTATGAGCGCGGTGTCACTGCACCGGGCTCGGCGGCAGGCTTCCAGGAAGTTGCGCATCCCGCACATGCTGACGGCGTCCTTCTCCAAGGTGGACACACCGCCATGGATCGTGCGTGGATCGATCAGCTGGTGAGAAACGTGCGTGGCTGAGGGTCTGGCTTGGAAGCCATCTTCGTCCTCAAGGCCGTCACCGGCCGTCATCCAAAATATGCGCACTCGACGCTGCACTCGAGCCCCGAATTCGCAAGAATCGCGGATCGAACAGCGAGGCTTGTCCGGCAGTCTCTACAGTCCGCGCGCCCTCTCGCTGCCATCACCTTTTCCCAATGTATTTCCGGCATCTTTTTGCAACCTCTTTTTCTTCGTGATTTAATCTCATTCTTTATCCCCTTGCGACGGCAACTGCACCCTGAGCATGGCATTCAGGGTCCGCTTCTGCCACTCAGCAAGCGGGCCGAGGTCTCTCGACAACGAATCTCGGCAAGCGTTTGTGCACTTCATTTGGTCTTTGTTTCGCAGAAGAGCTGAATCCGCGGATCCGGTCTTGTGCGCAGCAGCCGTGCGCACGGATTCTGGACGTTGCCTGCTCAACTCTTGCCCACCATCATTCTCCGATCGAAAGACGGTGCAATCATGTAAGTCTTGACTATCAACGCGCTCCTCAGCACGGCCTTTGTGCTTGCCATCCTGGTGCTTGCGGCAACCAAGTTCGAGTACCGCTCGGCGCCACGCTCTTCCACGACGAAACGCAGTGCCAGGACAAGGATCACGGATTGGCAATACCGCGGTTCTACGTCCGTCGCTATAACGGCCCTCATTGCCGTGGCTGTCACCTGGGCCCAATGCACCTCGCTGGCTACGTGCGTGTGGGTGAGCGCGCTTTGCTTGCTCCTTGTTGGCATGGCTTCCATGCAAATCTCTTTCAGTCGTAGCATTGTGCTGCAACCCTGACAAGGCTCCGCGATTGCTGGCCTCAGGGTCGCGCACCACAGCATGCCGGTGCACGTAGAAAGCGTCAAACCTCTCTTGCCGAGGCGAAAATCGGCTGCATGCACTCGCGTCATTCGTCACCACCGCCGCTGCCACCGCCGCTGCCACCGCCGCTGCCACCGCCGCCGCCGGCATTCTTGGCGCCCGTCGCCGGCAGGACGTAGGTACGCGGGGGCTTTTGCTGGAACCTGGTTCGATACACCGGCTAGCCTAAAACTCGCTTCCATGCACGCTAAAAAAACGCAGCCGAGCGGGCTCTGTGGCAGATCGTGCTTCACGCCACTACCAACTCGCAATTCCATAGGAGCGCGCACCTACTGCAGATGCACTTTGTGTCGAACACGATCGACGCCTTCCGTCATCATCCTTCGGTCGGCCACAAGGGGTCGGCTCATCGACGGCGTCTGCTGATTCACTTGCCACACTAAATCGACGCGCTCGAGCCAGGCGTCGTCGCTGCGGCCCTCGTCTCGCTCCTCGTGCGCGTCTTGGCGCGTCTCGGCGAGGACGTGCCTGCGTATTGCCGCCCGGCCTTCGGCTTGGACGGGGCGCTTGGAAGTCCCTTTCCTGCTCGGCCTGATGGGCCTGCTCTGTCCGGGCGCGCTGGCGCAGTCTACGGTGCAGATTGTTGACGCGCTGGATGCGACGCAGCCGCTCGGCCTTGAGCGGTTCGAGCTGGTCGGACGGCGACGAGGCGCTGCAGCGTGGGGTGTTGCTCGACGGCCGCCTTGGGCGCTTGCATCGAGCGTCGAGGGCTTCTGCGCGACTGACTCGACGCGACAGAGGCCATATTCGACCATGCGCGCGGTGGGTGCCCGCTCGGGCGAGGCGCATCAAGTCGATGCCTGTGCGGCGCGACAGATAGCTGTTGGCCATCGTCCCCGAGCCAGGCTCGTGGCCGATGGCGAGCCGCTTAGCGGACTCGGAGATCGGGGCCTTGTCGATCGTCTGGATGATCATACGCCGCACCGCATATGAGCAGAATTCCGGAAGTCCGCATGCGTTGGCCAGCTGGTCTGTGGTGTGGTCGACCATGTCGAGCCGGTACGGCTGCGAGGCCGACACGGCCCAGCGCAGGTTGGGCGGCGGCGGCGCGACGATGGTGGCGGTGGAGCCGCCGCGCCGACCGCATCCGCCTCGTCGACCGCGTCCACGCGAGGTGGCGGAGGCGGATGGCGTGATGGCGGCAGCGGTGGATGATGATACGACGGCGGCGGGCGCTGCGACGTCGGATGCCGAGGAGGACGGAGCGACGGGGATGATGCGGCGGCGCCATCGTCCGACGAGCCGACATAGACGAGCTCAAACGCCCGGAAGACAATGACATCCACACCGGTGCAGCGGTTCCCACGGCACACTGTTCTGTCGGCAACGCGTGGACGAGCAAGCATGTGAGTCTTCTCGCGTTCGTGCAGCGGCACAAGCAGAGCCTTCAGACACCTTGACAGGATTCACGTCTTGGATACAAAAGCTCCATTTCTGGCGGTTGAGGTAGACTGGTGCTGCCACAAGGCCCTGTCTACTCGTTACGCAGAAGCAGAAGAAGAAATAGGCGCCGGAGATCTGGTTCTGCGAGGCTACAAAAAGCGGATTCCGGTGCGCCAAAGTGGCCGATGTTAGACCAGAGAAAGAGTGTAGTGGGGAAGCAGAAGGAAATGCAACTGTTGGCTGCATTTGTCCTTGCAACTCTCTGTTGGACTGGTCGACTTATGTGAAGCTTGGTCGAAGTACGATCAAGACTGAATGATGGTTCGACCATGTCCATGTCATGTGGTGAGCGCATCCTGTGCGGCCCGTCCGAGCCGACGAGAACGAGGTCCGAGAAAATCGCCGAGCGAGCCGCGAATCGGAAACCGATCGGGATGCGAGCCGATCACCGTGAGATCCGACGAATTGGAGCCAAGCCTTCGCTCTGTGTCCGCGGACTGCGGGAGATGTGAAAGGGCGGCCGTCGTGTGCGCGTGGCTGTGGTCTGCTGCCACGCACGGACGGCTTCCACTGCCCAAGTGGCCGGCAGCCGAGCTGAACCCCAACCTCGACTTCCTTCTTCCAACCTCGTCTTTGCCTCCTTACGCAATCGTCACCGGACCTCATCCGTACCTCCGCCATCGACACTTCGTATAAAGCTCTTCGCTCGCACGCACACCCTCTGCGACCGCCAACTAGACCAACATGGCGAGCATCAAGGGACCCGCTCCGGCGCCTACGTCCTTCCCCGGCGCGGACAAGCTGCGCATCGGCATTGTGCATGCTCGATGGAACGAGGAGTGCATCACGCCGCTCGTACAGGGCTGCGTCGAGACCATCACCAAGGCGGGCGTCAAGCCGGAAAACATTGTGATCGAGAGTGTGCCTGGCTCGTGGGAGCTGCCGCACGGCGTGTCGCGGCTCATCTCGGGCTCGCAGGTGCAGGCGTCGTCGAACGTGTCGGACCTCATGGGTGCCACCTCGCTGCTCGACGACAACAGCAAGCCGTCTACTCCTGTCGCAGGCTCGTCGTCCAAGCCCTCCAAGGCGGCGCTGGATGCGGTCATCGGCATCGGTGTGCTCATCAAGGGATCGACGATGCACTTTGAATACATCTCGGAATCGTGCTGCTCGGGCCTCATGCGTGTGGGCCTCGACACGGGCGTGCCGGTCATTCTTGGCGTTCTGACCGCGCTCACCGAAGACCAGGCGCTCGAGAGGAGCGGCGTCGGAAGGGGCGCCAACAAGGGCCACAACCACGGCCTCGACTGGGGATCGGCTGCGGTCGAGTATGTATCCACGCCTCCCTTTCCTCCTTGCAAACTCGCGCTGACCTTGTCTGCTTCTTCTTCTTGTTGTTTGTTTGCGATGCCAGGATGGCTCTCAAGACCAACCGATGGGCTGAAGGAAAGCTCGCCTAGCCACCAACATGCACCACGAATATCAGAGTCCGGCAGTGTCTGCAGGATGCGCCTCATAGCAGCGGGTGTGGTGCCGGTCGAAGAGAGAGCGTATGATGTGCCCGTGCTTGCTGATGAGTTCACTCACGCAACGTACCTGCACTTGAGCGCTTGAGTTCCGGGCTGAGCTGGTCGGAAGGGTGCCGAACGGCGCAGCTGACCCGATCCAAGTGCCATCGATCGGGATCTAGCCCCGCTTCTGCCGAGTGAGCGTCGTGCATTGCAGTCTGCTGCGGTATCCTTCGCACGAGTGAGAAGCTTTTAGAGTGCTGCTCGACGGATGTATCGGCGGTGCGAGGCTGTTCGTATTTAAGCTTGGCTCGGATGCGGGATTTGCGTATTCTTACCCCGCACCGAGTGGAGCGGTTCGGCGGCTGTCGGCGAATCGGTGTTGGGATCGTGCAGCTCAATCATTGCCCCTTTGGTTGGGGCCAGCACCGACGCTGACTTTGCTTGCTACCACCACCATCATTGAAGCCTGAGGCTGGGATACGATGTCTCGCGTCTTGTACTACCTCGAGGACTCGCGCGCGTTCCGCGTGGCATGGGCATTGGAGGAGCTCGAGCTTGACTACGACCTCAAGCACTACCGACGCATCCAAGGCAAACGAGCCGAACCTACGCTCAAGTCCGAATCTGGCAACCCGCTCGGCAAGTCACCCTACCTCGTCGACTCGGACGTCCAACTGGGAGAATCGGCTGCGCAAGTCAAGTACCTCATCCAGCGTTACGCTCCCGAAAGCTCGCTTCTAGGTCCCGTGGACGATTGGCAGAAGCGGGGCGATGTCGAGGCGTGGATCTCGTTCAGCGAGGGCATGATGGTGCATACCCTGGCGGCCATCTACCCTCGCTGGTTCAGCGACGCTTCCTCGGCCTCGCAAATCGAAGCCAAGATGACGCCCAACATTCAGAACAACCTCAACGCGCTAGAATCCGCCCTGGCTGGCAACGACTACCTCGTAGGGGATAGCCTGACAGCAGCCGATCTCATGTGCGTCTTCTCCGCCGAATACACCCTCTACATGGACACCGGCATCTCGTCGGATGGGAAAAAGAAGCAAGACTGGCCAAACACGCTGGCCTGGCTCAAGCGCTGCGCACAACGCCCAGCCTACCAACGTGTCCTCCAAAAGGGCGCCACACACAAGTTCACCGTGACCGATTAGACTCCGTCCACCACCTGCCATGAACGCATATGCCTGTGCCAAGTGTGGTTGGTTCGAGAACTGTGTTTGATTTTTTTTTGGGGGGGGGGGAAGAGGGGTCGTGACACAGGACTCGGCTGAGAACGCGAGTCGGGCCTCAACCGTGCGCCGCTGGTGGCCCCACTCTGAGCGGATAGCGCTGTAGACGTTGGCGACTCGATTAGTCGAGCTTGTCCACCTCGGTCTCCTTCTTGTCGGCCTCGTCAAAGTTCTCGACGACATCGGGCACGTCGTCGTCGTCTTTGGAGGCGCCCGCAGCGGCTTGCGACGCGGCGTGTTGGGCGTTCATGGCCTGGTACGACTCGGCGAGCTTGCGCAGCGAGGCGAGCGAGTCAGGGCCGAGCTGGTTCAGGATACCGGGCACAAGCTCGGTGAGCTCCTTGTCGACGCCGTTGCCGTACACGGCAAACGTGTTGCTGGTGGGAAGGCCGTGGACTGTTTGCGAATGCAAGGCAAAGTGTCAGTACGTCGATCGGGTGTGCGAATGCTTGGCTGCCGCTGCATGTGTTGTCGAGTTGTCGGCTTGGTCCCGACTATGGCGTGGGTGCTCCAGATTGAAACATCTGCAGTCGTGCTTCCATCCCGGTCTCTCTGTCGCGGCCCTCGTCCGATGCCGCTTGAGATCGCCTGGCTCTGCACCCTCTGATCATGGGGAGCGGACCTGTTCCTCCCACCGGCTGGCACGACCTGCAATCCTGGTTATAGTATGCGCTGTCCATCTGGAATAGCGGTGGCTAGCTCCGTGCGTCGTGGAAAATCGGCGTGATGATGCAAGTCGGCATGGCGGAAACAACTTACCCTTGGGAGCGGCAAAGTGAAGGACGTTGCCGTCCTCCTTGAACATGTTGACCTCCTCGATACCAGACACGGGCTCCACCTGGAGCTTCTTGAGCGCGGCCTGGAGCTTGGGGTCCTCACCGCCGGGGCCCTTGGGCTTGGGGGCCATCTTTCGGCGAGGGGTACCCTTGCCGCCTGCGTGAGAGTTGCAAGAAGTGGCGCGCCGGTATTCGACCGAGTCGGCAAGAGTCATGCCAGGCAAGGCAGAGTATGCGAGATGGAACGTGTGGTTGATCGATGGTCGCCGATGCAAGAGAGCGAGAGCCAAGCGTGATGATAGCCGGTTTGATAGGGCGGAGATGCCGATACGGAGCAAAAAGAGCAAAAAGACGAGTCGCATGGATCAGCAAGGTGCGCGATCGAGAGCTGAGCGGAGGCGATGCGATGCGATGCGGCTGGCAGCTCGAGCGCATCTTGGGTCGCAATTGGTCGCCAATGTCAACGTACCGGTTCGGCTGGCGGCCTGGAGTCGGGCGAGCTTTTCCTGGTTGAGAACCATATTGAACGAGGGGGATGCAGAAGCCGAAACGGAAAGAAAGAGACAAGAAGAAAGGTCGAGGCGAAGATGTGGGGGCAAGAACAGAAGCAGAAGACTGGCGAGCTCAGACGACTTGCAGAACGAGCCACGACGACAACGAGCGGCCACGATGGCCGGACCTCTCTCTCTGCCTCTCTCTCGGGAGAGAGAGACTGCGTCGACTCTTGAGCGCAGAAGAGCTGCACGCAACAGCAGCACTCGCCGCTTCTTCGCGCCGCCCCCGATTGGGTCGCTCGCCGCGACGTCGTCTGCTGCTGCGCTCTGTGCTGGGCTGCGTGCGCTGCGCTCCAATTCTGACCCCGCGCTTTCGCTTGGGCACGCTTCTCGGCCGTCTGAGTTTTCGCCCAATTTTCTCGCGGGCTTTGCAGCTCCGAGCGCAGATGCGCAAGTGATCAGCCCGGCGCCCAGTCCCAAGAAGAAGGCCACAGAGACCCAGAGACGCACAGGAGTGCACCTTCCAACTTCAGCCTGCTAGCGTCTGTCTTGCTTGAAGCCTTGTCGTACTCGGTGATGTTGGGCCGAATCGGCTCTGCCTCGCAGACCACAGTATGTCTGCTGCAGCTATATTGAGAGATGCCAAACTCAGAAAGCTTGAGACTGCAAGACACCCGCCAGCATGTCACACCGCCATCACAGCGAGAAAGCTGCGGGGAGGACGCCGCAGCTAGAAGAATCCAAGCTTCGCCTGGACCCATCAAACAAGCCGCCAGTCTAACAAGCGACGGATTTTTTGCACCAACTCGGACGACTTCGGACTGTCCTTTTCCATTAGAAGCTGTGAGACCGTACAGCTACACAGCTTCCGATCTCGGCAAATGGGCATCTGAACCCGTCTCTGCAGCTGGTGGTCGAAATTGAATTGACTCGAATGCTAGGCAGCGACGCCCGAGAACGGCCGCTCAGGTCAAAGTGGCGGCCGGGTCGATGTAGAAATTGGGCAAAAACTCGAAACTCAAGACCACACTTCAAGAAGAATTCGGGCGCCCCGAAGCAGAGCTGAGAGCGGGGCCATCGTCCGAGAGAGAGCGAGAAGGGCGCTTGCGTGCGATGCGGCTTGCAGCCTGCAGTGCGCAACCTGGAGATCCGGATGTCAATCTTCTCTTCTAGCCTACATCACCCCCTCTTGCATCCTCGGCATCTCGCATCGTCAACTCTGGCTCATCACGCTCTCTCTCTCGGTAGCGCTCGCCAGTCGATTTCCAGGCCGTCTACGTTTCGCATCGTTCACATCGAGGCTCCGTCCGTCCAAACTCGGTCACCTTTCCTAGGATCACCCGCGCCCGCGCATCGCACATAATCACAATGGCCAGCTCCCCAGTCTTGAACGTAAGTCTCCGTCGCAGGAACGTCTCGCGTTCGTCGAGATTGGCTCCCAGACAGGCTGGCACCGTTGCACAGCTCGGAACTTTCCCGAATCGAGCATCAGCGCATCCGTCTCTCGCGTCTTTGTGGCCTCCCGTCGGCGCATGCTTTGACGAGCAACCCGACTCCCTTCCGATGGCAAAGCATCCCGCGCAGACGAGCGTATACTGACAGAATCCTTTGCATTCTTTCCTCGACTCCCTGGTCTCCGCCTGAACCGCACTCCACGATCTCTGCACTTGGCCAACGTTTGCACACACTCGCCCGCGCTGCAACTCTCCGCTGGATCGTCTCGACAGGTCGTCCGCTACTCGGCACTCGTCGGCGGCATCGGATACGGCATCCTGCACCGCAGGACATTGCAAGCCAAGGCGGACGTCAAGGCAGCCCACGCCGAGTACAAGCACAAGGAGCAGCTCATCCAAAAGGCAAAGGAGGCGTACAAGAACCGCCTCGTCGCCAAGCAGAGCTCGTCGGGAGGTACGTACAAATGCATGCTGCTCGCACCAGCGCGGTCATCGACTCCAAGGTCTTGTCTATGTTGGAGGAATGGTGCAGATAAAGCGGTCGGAGGGCGCCGAAAGAGGGGGATGCCAGATGCATACAGCGACGCGGGCTAGGAAGAGGCAGACGAGCAAAGGGGAGGGAGAGAGAATGTCGCAGACATTCCGTCCGTGCGAGACTGCTGCTCAGTGATCCGACAGACGTCTCGCCCCTCGCCCCAAGGTCGCATGTCGCTAGCTCGAGCGGTGGCGAGTTTTCGAGGAAGAGTCTGGCGAGCGCGAACCGGGCTGTGCCGTTTGTGCATTGTCACGGATATCTGACCGTGAAATCACGGCCGAGGGAAGGATGCGGAAGGCGGATGGACACGGAAAGCACGCTTGAGGAGAACGGAGGGCAATCCGACGACAGGTCCGCTGGTTGAATCGCGAGCAGCCCGCACAGTGCTCAACCCACGCGATCGAAGCTCATACTGACTCCTCCCTGCGCTTGTTTTTCTCTTTTTGACAACTTTAGTCGAGACGGACCCCGAGAGCCCAGCATTCGACTTGGAAAAGTTCCTCCTCAAGGTCGAGCAGGAGAACTAAAGGCGCTCGTCATGGTTGCGATTCTTGGTCCCTTCTTCGTCTGCTCGGCCACGACACTTGCACAGGCTATGTCTGTGCTCGCACACTAGATCTACCGCAGCAATTCTAAAACCTCGTTGGTCCATATTGGTCCTTGGAGCGTGAGAGTGTGACTTTGACGCATGAGAATGTGACTTTTGACGGCAGTCAAAGGGGCAAAAAAAAGGGCAAAAGGAAACCGCAGCACCCAGGATTCCCGCGTGGTCCCCCACCGCAGTACTGACTAGGCGATACCGTGCTTAACTTCGCAGATCGGACGGGATGCGGTGCTTTCACGGTTCTATGGCCGCAGATGTTTGGTCCTTCCGAAGAAGTGTTGGTAATCAGAGTGTCGAGACTGTGAGATGTGGGAAGCTCGCATTGGGTGAGACGCGACATGATGTGCTCCTAGAAAGTGGCTCGGATGGTCACTCAGTTGAGTGTGGGTTCCTGCGTATTGTCACGCCGCTCTGGGCTGTCACATCACCTTGGTGTCGGCTCGTCCAGAACACTCCCACGCTCGGTTTCAAGGTTCAGACCTCTCACCACGCTCATCACCCGCTGCGCCTCGGAGAAGCCGCGTACCTGTAAGCTGAATGGGATGCAGATCCTCTGAATAGGAACGTGATGTCGTGTGCAGCTTCGCTTGCTGGACGGCGAGTCGGCCCCGTCGCGCTTTGCAGATCCATCCGCACTTGTTTTCAGAAATTGCGAAGAACGTCGAGCAAAGCGCACGTTCTCGCCGTTTCACAGCGGTTCCCGCTCGACGAACGTTGCGATTCGCTGCACGTTTCCGACCGCCGGCGCAGCGTCCTGACTCCGCCCGCAGCTCGCCATCCTGGACAACATCAAGCGCGACTCGGGACCATCTCACTCACGAGTCGATCATGATTGCCAGGAGGGCATCCCGAGCATCCGGCTTATCTTGTGCACCATGTGACTCAAGCTCGGCGCAGCCCGAGCGACTACCGTTAATCGGTAACCGAGCTCGAGCGGGTGATTGCTACTCGGTGGTGTTGCTGCCGATAACGCACCGCATGCACCACCCTTCGCTTAGCGCAGAGGCGACAAACTCGCCTCGGCTCGGATCACCATCTTCCTTTTTTCGCATCTTCCGCCCACGGCTACTTTTGTGCCTGGCCGACGGCTCATCCAGACGCCGCGGCTGGCCAGCAAATGAAGGCAACACATCAGTCAACAGCCGCTGTCAAATTTATGCATCCCCCGCACGCACGCCACACCACCAATGCGAGTATATAATAAGAAGCTCATGTGCGCGAACACGACCGCATCTGTTTTTCCCCTATCTAGACGTACTCCACGAGAACGGTCGGAATCGATGATGCTGCTGAATAACTTCATTTCGGCGGCAGTCGTGCTCGCTGGCTTTGCCGCCGCTTGCCCAGGCATCGACCACGCGCAGGGCCTGGCTCCCCGCACTCCTGATCATTCGATCCAGCCGAGCGGCGGCGAAACACTCCTTCGCGATCTCACTTGGGGCGATATGGTGGCTCTACACCTCACAGACGTTCACGGCTGGTATCAAGGGCACAAAAAGCAGAGCGAGCCTGAACCCAACTATTCAGGCGACTGGGGCGACTTTGCCTCGTTCGTATCGCACATGCGCAAGCTCGCCAAGAAGAAGGGAGTCGATCTGATCCTTGTCGACACGGGAGATCTACACGACGGAGCAGGTCTTAGCGATGGCTACCCTGCCGGCCAGGTCGACGGCCAGGTTTCGAACCAGTTCCACGCCATGGTCGACTTTGATCTCCTCACAGTTGGCAATCACGAGCTGTACAAGTATGAGAACGCTTGGAACACCTTGACCGAGTTTGTCCCAAAGACTCACGGTCGCTACATGGGCTCCAACGTCAAAGTCAGCCATGCTCCACCTCGCGGCGGCGGAGCCAACGTGACCTACAACTTTGGCGAGCAGTTCGTCAAGTTCAAGACCGACCACGGACGCAAGGTGACTTCGCTCGGTGTGCTCTTCAACTTCACCGGTGCCGACCAGGGCATCACTGTCCAGGACCCAGCCAAGATGGTCCTCGAGCCGTGGTTCGCCGACGCGATCAAGGATGAGCCCGACGTCTTCATCGTCACGGGCCACATGCCCGTGCGCAAGGACCAGTTCCCCGTCGTCATAGACGCCATCCGCAAGCTGCACCCGACCACTCCCATCATGGTGCTCGGCGGACACTCGCACATCCGCGACTGCACCACGTACGACAAGTACTCGATGGGCATCGAGTCTGGCCGCTACCTCGAGACCATCGGCTGGCTCTCGATGAACTTTACGCAGGACGGCCCAACGTTCAGCCGCTCGTACATCGATGCCAACCGTCGCAACTACGCCTACCACGCCGGCCTCTCGTCCAAGCCCACCAAGTTCGACACGGCGCTCGGCAAGAAGATCACGCGCCAGATGAACCAGGTCGCCGACGCGTGGAACCTCTCGCACGTCTACGGCAACGCCCCGCAGGACTACTACCTGCAGCGCGTGCCCATCAACGACACGTCGTCGCTCATCAACTTTATGACGAACAAGGTGCTGCCCACGGTCATCTCGACGTCCAACGCGGAGCGCAAGGGCGTGCCCAACCTCGTGATCGCCAACAGCGGCTCGCAGCGCTTCGACCTCTACGCGGGACCCTTCACCAAGAACGACCAGTACATCGTGTCGCCGTTCACCGACGCATTCCAGTACATCAAGGACGTGCCGTACCAGTACGCTAGCCAGATCATCCACAGTCTCAACCACGACAAGGCGGCGCAGGCGTCGAGCAGGAGACGCAGCGCCGAGGACGACGAGGTGGAAAAGGATCTGTATGCCAAGGGCCACGTGTCGCACATCTACAACCGCTGGATGAAGGAGCAGCACCACTTTGCGTCGAACGAGGCTGCGCTCGACCTGGCCAAGCTCGATGCGCGTGCTGCTGCGGCGCAGGCTCAGCGCACGCTCGGCTACGTGACCAAGGACGACTGCCCTGGCGATGGCGACGACACCATCCACAACGCCATCCCCTTTGCGTCGGTGCCGGACTACGTGCAGAGCCCCGTGACGGGCGACAATGTCGGACCGACCGACAAGGTGGACGTCATCTTCCTCGATTTCATCGCCAAGAACGTCGTGCGCATCCTCAACGGCCTCCAGACCGAGCGCACCTACTCGCTCTCGGACGTGGCGGCGTACAACCAGTACACCACCCAGGACATCTACCCGCTCTATGCCGAGCAGGTGTGGGCCAAGAACGCCACTGCCTAGACAGAGTTCCGCGCGCATGTTCGATCCGCAGCTGAGGCGGAACTAGAAATGGAAATGGAAACGTGGTCAGAGCGAGAGCACGACAGTGTGTTGAAGGGACGAGCGAGTGAGGCACGGCGCTTTTTGAAGTGTCGAGTTGTCGAGGCTGCGGGAACCAATTCTCGGAAAGCGGAAGTGCAATTGCGGGGCGGCGGTTTGCAGTTCAGTGGAGGATGCACGTGTGGTGGTGGCTTGGACCTGACCACCATCAAGCTCGGCAAGAGTGGGCGTACATGTGCAGCTTCATCAGTGTGCGTCCAAGGCTCCAACGATGGACGCGACGACGACAACAACAACAACAACAAGTGGGGCCGGTGGTGGGGCAGCCAACAGCACCGAGCTGATGATTGCGCTGTCGCAGATCCAGCAGCTGATTCCGCTTCTGGAGCACCGGCCCGGTGGACTTGTGCATCTTGTTTCGAGTCTGCTCATCCCACTTTCTGCCGAGGCGGGTGCGGAGGCTATGCAGCGGTATCGAGCCAATGTGGACCATGCCTTCCGCGTGTCTGCCGAGCTGGTGGCGCGAACCCAGGGAGGTCCCGTGGGGACAGCGTTGGAGCTGGCGGAAAGGTTGATGGACGACGGCGAGAGTAAGAGGTTGCTGCGGGTGCGTAGGAAGAGGAGGCTGTTTACGGAACAGGAAAAGCTCCTCGATGGTAGCGGTCCACCAATCCCACAACCCCGACCTCAAGCTGCAGGATCGAAGCAAGATGCAGAAGCGGGGGTGTTGCCGGCGCTGCCTTTGACATCGGCGCAGCAAGATCTGGCCTGGCCAACGTCGGCAGACGCCGTGCAGCAGTACCTCCGTGCGCTACATGGGTACCTCGAACAGGCTTTCAAGGGGAAGGGCCGCGATGGGGCGCTCAAACACGTCAAGGCACGCGTGGCGAGCTTCGGTCAGGCTGGATTTGAAGTCGAAGTGCACGTTAGCCCCATCCTCAGGGCAAGGATCGAGGTGACGGTGGCAGAATCGAGCATCGACATTGCCTCGCTTGCTGTTGGTGCGATGACCGAGTCGATCGTAAGTGCAAGTGCCCCTCCCCAAGGCGCGACCGTGTTGCGATCTCTCCAAGACACTGCTGACACTTGCCCCTTGGATGCATAGACCTCAACAACGCCATCTGCATTCCCCATCTTTCGCGCACTGTCGAGCGACGTACTCACACATACCAAGCGCGCCCAACGCGCTCCCGCACCCGCACACGCGCACGCGGCAGTGTGGTCCGCCTACGCAGGTGTCACTGAAACCATCGCGCGGCTCATCCTCTCAGCGGCGCAGTTTCAGACCTAGTCACGAATGCAAATGCATGTATTTGTATCCGATTTGACGGATCTAGCCGGTCTTTTCGGTCTTTGTTTCCTCCCGAGTCGATGCCAATGTGGAGCTCTGAGACGAAGCAGAGGAGGAAGTGGATGCGGCCGAAGACGATGCGGATGAAGTGCGTCGCTTGGTGGGCGACTTTAACGCCGACGATCGCGACGACGGTCGGGACCTCTTGTTGCTCTTGCCCTCCGTGGCCGAGCCTGTCTTTTCGATGAGTGCACGGCTGGTGTCGACGTACTGCTTCCATCTGCGTTCGAAGCTCTCGGTGAGCCTAGCAGCCACGCCTTGGCTCCCGGGCACACGGTCGGCGGAGATCGAGATGGTAAAGTCGCCACCGTACGAGCAGATGCCGATGCCCAGCGTGCCCTTGCCCGCCTGGGGTGGCAGAGCGGTCCAGCGCACCACCTCCTGCCCCGCCAGCTCGATGCGCTGCTTGGACGGACACGGCACATTCGTCACCACGGCGGTGAAAGAGGTCAGCACGCGCTCGGTCACCCACACCGTAGGCCACCGAAGCACGTTCCATCCGACCTTGGGCAACAGGCCGAACGGGATGGGAAAGGCAACGGGCATCTGGCCGGTGAGCTGGATCATGTAGAAAAAGATTTTGGGCAGCAGCGAGTTTTTGAGGATGTTGAGACGCGAATGCGTCGTGTGCAGACGTCGGTGCAGCACTCGCACGTCGGTGGGGAGACCCTTGGTGGTGGGAAGATAGGCGATGCCACCCGTGGACAGGTTGCGCATGGACCAGTCGCCCGGCTCGCGGATCGAGATGGGGATCATGATGCCGATGGGCGACGGCAGGATGCGGTGCGACAGTCGACGCAGGCGGTTGAGCAAACCGGGCTCGTCCGGTCGGCGGTCAAGCTCGTCGTTGATCACATCCGCAATCACGGTGCAGATGATGTCGTTGACCGTAAGGTGCGTGCCGATGAGCGGACGAGAGTAGCGCTTGCCGCCTTGCACCTTGTCGAGCAGCGTGCCCGGCTGGACGCCCGAGAAGGCCTTGGAGATCAGCTTGACCTCGCCGAGCGGGAACGAGGGCGACACGCTAAATTCCTTTTCGGGCTTGCGCGGACCCGGGTAGCTGGCGGTGACGTAGCGCTGGCGCCAGAAGGTGGCGACGAAGAAGAAGCTCGTCGAGACGGCGAGGGTGACGCAGCCGGCGAGGTCGGTGATGAGCGAGACGAGCCAGCTGGTCCAGTAGAGCGCCATCATGACGAGCTGGAGCGCGATGGTGCCGTGGAATCGGTCGAGGCTGGCGAGCTTCTTGTTCATGCGCGAGGGCAGCGCCTTGCCCTGCTTGGCGTCGCTAAGCAGCTGTGCGCCGTCGGCCATCATGCTCTCGAGCTTGGAGCCGAGCGAGGTGACGAAAAGCTGGCTCATGATGAAGCCCTGTCCGTCGGCGAGCGTGTGGTGGCCGCGGATCACGCAGGCTCCCTTGGCGCCGGTGTCCTGGTCGACAAAGTTTTCGAGCACAGCCACGCTCCACAGCGGACGCGTGTAGTCCCAGTCGCGCGCGATGAAGTCGGAGGCGAAGCTCTCGAGCTCGCGCTTGCCCGCGGCGCCGGGCAGGGTTTCGGAGCGGATGTGCCAGCTCATGTCAAAGTCGTCGTCGTTGATAAAGACGGTGCCGTGGAAGAAGCGGCCGACGTCGGCGAGCTTCTGGGTGTACTTGGGGAAGTGGCCGATCTGTCGAGCCATGGATTCCTGGATGTGCTCGAGTTTGGCGGGCTCCTTAAAAGTGTAGGTGGCGGTGCAGATGGGGTTGAAGGAGCTGATGCCGTCGATGAGCAGCCACATGTTGTCGATGCCGCCGATGGCGTTGGCGCGGCTGAAGATCTCGTACTGCACCAGGCGCTCGATCTGTTCGGCGGCGGCGAGGGTGGTGCGTGCAATGCGCTCGAGCACGCCACCCTTGCGCTGGTCTGCGAGCTTCTGCAGCGCCTCCTCTGCGCGTTCGGCGACATTGTGCACAGCCGCACCGAGCGTGGGCGTATTGTAGCCCGACGTCCACGGGCTTTCGTCGAGAGCGGATGCGACGCCGGGGAAGAGCGGGAAGAAGGCCTTGCTGGCGATGGAAGGCGTGTCGTTGGGCTTGGAGCTGGATGATGAAATGGACGACGAGATGCCGTTCATGCGCGCAAAACGAGAGGAAGACTGCAGCTTGGGGCTGCGGTGGCGTGCGCCATCGCCAGCTGCTCCATTGCCAGCTCCTCCCTTGACCTTGGCGGCGGGCGAGGAGGTGCTGTGGCTGGCCCGCGCGGGTTCCTGTGCAGCCGACATCCTTGTCTACCGCGAGTCTATGAGATGTGTCCAAGATGGGATGGGTGGATGGACGACTATAAGAGACGGAGCATGAGGGTGGAATGCAGGAAGGACGTGGTTGTAAGGAACGATGACAGGAGTTCGACCGCGTCATTTGGCTGTTCGGGGTCGTACAATCAAAAGTTGCCCCGGCAATTCAGCCCAGCGTCACCTCATCGATTCGGCTCATCATCGATTCGGCTCAAACTGACGCAGACATCCGAACGGCAATAAGTGGAGGGCACTGCGAATTAAAGTTCAATTGTTTATATTGTTGAGCTAACATTTTGAAGACGCCAAAATGCTAACCCGAGTTCCGCCTTTTGGACGTCGACGCGCCGCGGCCATCCGCTTCTGCGCGGTCCCACCTTGCTTCTCGACCTCCTCGTCGTCCTGCCCATCAGTCGTTCCGTGTGCAGACACATTGCGCACTCCGTCGCAGCTGCACATCATGCCGGCGTCGTCAGCGGCCCCAGTTGCAGCAGCCGACAAGGCCACCAACAACGACACCACCAAGGCCGCCGACTCTACACCTCACACGCCCAAGGATGCCTCATCTACGCCCCTGCCCACCGCCTCGACCTCGACAGGAGGATCAGCAACTGCTGCTGCTGCTGCTGCAAACGATGCGGCTGGGGGCGTGTTCAGCAATCCTGACATGACCGCCGCCGTACTCGCCTACCTCCAGAAACGCGGCTTTGATCGCGTCGAAGCCGCCTTCAAGGCAGAGCTCGATGCACTCGCTTCCGGCGGCACGCCAGAGCAGGCTGCCGCGGCTGCCGCAGATACACTCGGTCGCTCGCCAACAGTAGGCTTGGAAGATCTCGCTGCCAAAAACGCCCCGCGTACGACCAACGACAAGGACGGCGACAAGGACAAGGATGCAAATACGAACGCCGCCGCCGCCGCCGCCGACGCCGACCTCACCATCGCAGAGGACGGCGGAGTCTCGGCCGCAGCCGCACAGGCTCTGCTCCTGGATCCCACCGATCGCGCCCGTGGCTTCGCCATGCTCAAGCAGTGGTGTCACGGCAGTCTCGACATCTACCAGCCCGAGCTTCTGCCCATCCTCCTCCCGCTCTTCGTCCACTCCTTCCTCGACCTCGTCCTGCTTGGACACGGCCCGGCCGCCTCGGCGCTCTACTCTGCGCACGCCGCCTCTTTCCTGCCAACCCACACGGCGCTGCTCTCCCAGATCCGCTCGCTCGCCCTCCCCTCGCACATCCAGACCGACGCGCTCGCCCAGCGCTTCCGCTCCGAACGATACGTCGTCAAGATGTCCAACACTGTATTCAGCCTGCTGCTCGGCTGGCTCACCGACGGAGGCGGGCCCGTCTCGGGCTCCATCGGCGGTCTCGAGGAGGCGGAGGCACCCGCAAGGCGTGGCAGAGAGGCCATGCTCAAGATCATCAACGAGCGCTGCCGAATCCAGGTGCTCGCCGCCCAGCCTTACCAGATCGATGCAGCCGTCCTCGAGGAAGGCACCGGTCTCACCGGCGCCGGTCCCACCTACTCGAGCCTCTCTGCCAGCGCCGCAGGTCGCAGCCGCATTCACTCGGCCCTCTCCAAGAACGCCATCTCGCACGGCGACGCCCTCGCCGAGTTCAACGCAAAAGCAGCCGGACCGCAGCTCAAGCTGCATCCCTCCGTACCGCTCAACGAGCGCCTGGAGAACGAGGTGCAGAAGGAGCTCACCGAAGTCGAGCGCCGCGAAAAGGAGACGATCGCTGCCGTGCAGGCAGACGAGGCCAAGACCAAGGATGCAGATGCGGCGGGCACCAGCGGTGCAGGTGCGGCCACGTTGCAGGCAGGTGTGGAAGCCGGCGCCGTGGAGCAGCAGCAGCAGCAGGACGGAGATACAACCATGCAGGATGCGAGCACTACCGAGCGCGGCGGCGACGACCAGGACAGCTCGAGTCGTGCGAGGACCGCATCCGTGCGACCGTCGGAAGCGACATCGAGTGCGGCTGCAGCTGCGACCGAAGTCGTCAAGCTGGCCGGCGCCACGGGTCCCGACTTTTCGGCAGGGCTGCTGGCGGCGGGCATCGACGATCTTCCGCCTCAGGCGCCCACGTTCCGGACGGTGGATGTGAAGCGCGAAGTGCAGCGCATCCGCGATGCGCGCAAACGCATCCGTCTGGATCCTTCGCTCGCGACGTCCGGCGCGGCGACGTTCACGTCGGGCGTGCGCGATGCGGCGGTGAATGCGCTGGGCGAGTCGGGTGCCAATGCGGCGCGCGTGGCGGCGCTGCCGTCGGTGTGCGCCTACACCTTCCACGATGCCGACGACGGCATAACGTGCTCGACGTTCTCGAGCGACATCACCATGATGGCCGCCGGCTTCGAAGAGTCGTTTGTGCAGATCTGGTCGCTCAAGGGCGAAAAGCTGCGGGCGGTGCGCGGCAACCCCAACCTGTCGTCGATCCGCGACAGCAAGTCGCTCGCGCGCCAACGCGAGGCAGAGGCCTACTCGACACGTCGGCTCATCGGTCACTCGGGCCCCGTGTACGGCGTGGACTTTGATCCCGTCGGTGGCTCGGCGTCGGCGCCGCGTCATCTGCTCAGCTGCTCGGCAGACGCAACCGCGCGACTGTGGAGCCTAGACACGTACAGCGCGCTGGTGGCGTATCGGGGTCATCAGCACCCCGTGTGGGATGTAAAGTGGAGTCCGCTCGGCACGTACTTTGCCACGGCCAGTGCGGACAAGACGGCGCGGCTGTGGAGTACGGAGCGGGTGAATCCGCTGCGCATGTATGCGGGCCATCTATCGGACGTCGACTGCCTCACGTTCCATCCGAACAGTCTGTACCTTGCCACGGGCTCGTCGGATCGCAGTTGTCGACTGTGGGACGTTCAGCGCGGTGCGTGCGTGCGGCTGTTTGTGGGGCATCAGTCTCCGATCTCGTGCGTGCGAATCAGCCCGGACGGTCGCTACCTCGCGTCTGCGGCTGCGGGCAACGGAACAGCAGCGCAGTTCGGCGGAGTGGACGGCATGGATCCCACTTCGCAGGGGGCGCACATGAACGACACGTCGATCTCGCTGTGGGATCTGGCGAGCGGACGCAGGATCAAAAAGATGTGGGGCCACTCGGAGCGCGTCTACTCGATGGACTTTTCCGCCGACGGATCGCTGCTCGTCACGGGCAGTCAGGACTGCAGCGTGCGATGCTGGGACGTGAGGGCGGTGGGAGGCGCGCGAAAGACGCCGTCCAAGGGATCGCTGGAAGCACAACAGGCCAGCGCAGCAGCAGCAGCGGCAGCGGCCATGGCGACATCGGCAGGCGCACCGCCAAGTGTCGAGCAGCTCAGCAACGGCTCGCTCGCCAGCGCGGCGCTGGCAGCAAGCCAGATGGGCGCCGACCTGGCCAACGCAAGTGCCGACTGCGTCGCCACCTTCCACACCAAAAAGACGCCCGTGTTGGACGTCCACTTTACCCCGCGCAACCTCTGCCTCGTCGCCGGCGTCTACGCCGACTAGCAATGTACCACCATCCATCTTCCGTCGTGTGTGCTCGGCCGTGTCTGCCTCCTCTCGAAAGCAGCGAGCGAGGATGCAGTGCGGCGGCTGCGTGTAGCGCAAAAAAGACAGGCTGCGTTGAAGGGGAATCGAACCCCTATCTTCTGCGTACTAATGATTACATAATCACGAGATGGAAAGCAGAAATACTGGCCATTGTACTATCAACGCGTGCTCTAACATTGCGTGGGGCTGTTTGTGTATAGAATTCAGCTTCCTCTCTTAGGTGTTTGGTGCGATGCCAAGTGTGGGCAAGGGATGGTCGAATTGCAACAACGGGTGGAAAAGGAGCAGCGCGTGCTTGTGTGCCTTGCAAGGCGTTGCTGGGCGCGCGCGGGTCCAAGTGTTGAACCGTCTGTTGACGGCCAGGGAGGCTCGAGCGCGCCTTTGGGTCGACTGACGCGCGCTGCGATGGGGTCGACGCTTTCTTCGCGTCTTGGCTGGGCTTTGTGATTGACTGACTGCGCATACGAATTTTGGAAATGCAGCCGGCGTGTGATCAGTAAAGGGCGAATACAAAGCCAGACGCACGAGGGTGTTCAACGACGCGCCCGACCGGCTAGCTGTGTGCATCGACTCTGGGCTCAACTGCCCGCACAGTTTTTTTTTTCCCTCTGTGAATTCAAAATGCGAAAATGAATCAGTGGAATCAAAGGGAAGAGAGCAGCTCAGCCCCCCCGGCCTCTGCGCTCGTCCCCCCTTCTTCCCCTTCCGCCCCTGCTGTTTAGCCTCGAGTTTTTTTCCTCGCAGACAGACACGCCGCGCCGCGAACACACCAACAGCCCGCGCGGTCACAGCAGCAGCAGGCAGCTGGCAGCAGGCAGCAGCCAACACACACTCTCGCAGCGCGCTCTGCCCTCGCAGCTCAGTTGCGGCCGGCTCAGCCAGCAAAGCCAGTCGCAGCAGCCCGTCAGCACCGCTCAGCCAAAGCTCAGCCAGCCAGCCAGCCAGCCAGCACTCGTCGTCGCCATCGCAGCCGAGCGTATCGCTGAGCCGCCGCCTCGCCATCTTGCCTTCCTGCATCCACGACCTGCCATCCTCTCCTCCCGCCTCCACCCAGCTGTCCTTGTCGTTTCCTGCTCAGCTGCGGCGAATCCATTCACTCCTCAAACCCACGCCTTGGTTCCGATCATCAACGCTCGATAAGCGCCCGCATCGCGATCCACACTTTGTCTTGTCGTCTCTCGGTCACGCGGTCAGCTCTGGGTCTCGCCTCTTTGTTCCCATCGTCTCCCTCCATCCTACATTTGCCTTGCCGCAGCCCCGACATCGCACGCCGCTGCACGATCATCGAGGCATCCGTCTGCTCCAGCGCCAACCATCGCGAGTGTCGTCTTTTTTTCACCCGCTGGCATCCGCAGCCAAGACGCCTCTCACGACTCGTTCGCATCGTATCAACGCTATCACCGCCCGTTGATCGCGCCAGCATCCGTTCCGGTACAGCTGCTGAATCGCTCTCGTCAGCTGTCTCCGTGACCTCCACAAGCCCCAAGTCTCGCTCGAAAGCATTCTCATAGCGAGTCGTTTGCGCTTCTCCCTCCCTCTTCACTTCGTAAGTATGATCTCATCCGCCCGCTTCAAAGATCGGTCAGCATCCGAGTCGTTCCATCCGATCCACGACAAGATCGACAATCGCAGTCGCAACCAACGCCTTCCGACCGTGGCCTGCATTTTGTGTCGAAATGGGCGCAGTGCCCATTCCTCCCGTCTTGTGGTGCGCAAGGGCAGACGATTCAGAGCAACGATCGATCCACTCTGCCGTGCTTTCAGACGAGCATCGCATCATCTCGCCGCACATTCGTATGCTTGGATGACCGTCGGTGCTGCGAGGCAAAGCTCGCCTCTCACTGGCTTGCAAAAGAAAGACACGACGACTGACTTTGTTCCCCTTTCTCGCCTTTGATTTCCACGCCTCCCTCCGCATACGCACACGTCTGCTCACAATGTATGCGTCGACTCGATCGCCCCATCCACGCACGCATCTCAGGCGCCGCTCACCCACCAGCACAATGGCCGACAACACCACCCCCGAGGTGGATCTCGATAATGTCATCGACCGCCTCCTAGAGGTGCGCGGCTCTCGCCCCGGCAAGCCCGTCCACCTGGAAGAGTACGAGATCAAGTACCTCTGCCTCAAGGCGAGGGACATTTTTATCAACCAGCCCATCCTGCTCGAGCTCGAGGCGCCCATCAAGATCTGTGGCGACATCCACGGTCAATACTACGACTTGTTACGCCTCTTCGAATACGGCGGCTTCCCGCCCGAGGCCAACTACCTCTTCCTCGGCGACTACGTCGACCGTGGCAAGCAGTCGCTCGAGACCATCTGCCTGCTGCTGGCGTATAAGATCAAGTATCCGGAGAACTTTTTCATCCTGCGCGGCAACCACGAGTGTGCGAGCATCAACCGCATCTACGGCTTCTACGACGAGTGCAAGCGCCGCTTCAACATCAAGCTGTGGAAGACGTTTACCGACTGCTTCAACTGCCTACCCATCGCCGCCATCATTGACGAGAAGATCTTCACCATGCACGGCGGCCTCTCGCCCGACCTGCAGAGCATGGAGCAGATCCGCCGCGTCATGCGACCCACCGACGTGCCGGACACGGGTCTGCTGTGCGATCTGCTGTGGTCGGATCCGGACAAGGACATCTCGGGCTGGTCGGAAAACGACCGCGGCGTGTCGTTCACCTTTGGGCCGGACGTCGTGTCTCGGTTCTTGCAAAAACACGACATGGACCTCATCTGCCGAGCGCATCAGGTGGTGGAGGACGGCTACGAGTTTTTCGCCAAGCGCCAGCTCGTCACGCTGTTCTCGGCGCCCAACTACTGCGGCGAGTTTGACAATGCGGGCGCCATGATGAGCGTCGACGAGACGCTGCTGTGCTCGTTCCAGATCCTCAAGCCTGCGGAGAAGAAGCAGAAGTACGCGTATGGCGGCATCAACATGGGTAGGCCCGTGACGCCGCCCAGGAAGCAGAAGAAGAAGTCGGATGGCAAGTGAGCGCGCATGTCGCTGCGGGGGCCGGCGCCGGGTGGGGAGGGGGTTGGGTAGGGGCAGAAAAGCTCAAGCGGGGACGCAGCGAGGAACACCAGTCGGCCGGCAGGCGGGCAGTCGCGCAGGCAGGCGGGCGGGCAGGCAGTCAGTCGGGCACAAGTCGGCGCAAGTCGGCACACGAGCAGATGCGCCGTCTTTGCTGTCTAACGTCATCTGCGCGCGATGGAGTGAGCAGGTGACGGGCGTTCCATCGGATGCGCCGATCAGCACAATCGATGCCAATCATTCGTCTTTGCGCGCTTCTCTACAGTCACTGTGCCGACAGTCACTGTGCCGCTCTGAGCCGCCTTTGTCGGCCCCCAACGGGACTCGCGCAAAGCCCAGTTGCGGGCGGGAGGAAGAGCAGCGCGTTGAACCTCGCGCCGCATCGCGCACGTTCGGCTGGGTCTCGGATCTGCCGTGGTCACAATACTGGCTGGGCAACATCTCCGAGGTAGCGGGTTTTCATTCGGACCCGCACCCGACGGCCTGCATCGCATCGCCCATGCCTGCTCTCCCTCGCCTCGAACCACTCTGCCCCCTCCGTCTGGCCTCACCTCTTTCGCCCACTCGTCTCTCCCTCCTCTCTCTCTCTCTCTCTCTTTTCTCTTCTGTTCCT